CCCACGGCCGCCCCCTCGGCCCCTCACCACGATGGGTGGCGGCTCGGAGGGAGCTCTCCCCACCCCCGCTCTCCAGGCGACCGCTTGGGGACCATGGAGCCTTGGTTTTCCCGGAATATGGACGCCACCCTGCTGCTGGGCTTGCCGATCCAGCCAAGCCACCTTCCCGAAATGTGTCCCTCCCGCGCCGCTGCCTGGAGTTGGGCGACTGTGAGGTCCCAGTATGACAGGCAAGGCAGGATGGGGTTCACCCTGAGACTACCTGAGAGACCTTGGGCAACTTACTTCCCCTCTCTGAGCCGTTTCCTGGTCCCTCCTAACACCGAGAGAGGTGACCCGATGTTCAACTCTGCTTACTCCGAGCCTCTCCAGCTGCCCTGCCCCTGCTTGTCCACGTAGGAGCTGAGCAGCCCGGCATCGGGAAGGACAGTGGGAATCCACCGATAAGGGCTCCTGGGCCAAGAACGATGACACTTGCATCACAGAATCTAAACTTGACGCCCAGCCTCTGCGGTCATTCCTAGGGTTGTCCGCATTTTTCAGATGAGGAAGCCAAGGCTCACTCTGGTCACTAGCCTATGACGCGGCAGTGCTCACCTGTGTACTGCCTCAGTGTCTCGGCCCTTCCCTGAGCTACCTGGCAATTCTAGGTCTAACGAAATGCATAGACCTCACAGACAAGCCTCAAACACTGACTTCCAGCCCAAGGTGATCCAGCGAGAATCAGAACTCCCACCCCTCCAGGTCACTGGGTCACCCCCCCACCCTGTCCCACACCCTCCCCAAACCACAAGGGGGCAGGAGACACCTACGGCCTCTACGGGGGGCCGCAGTAACCAGGCTTCTCCATTCTCTGGCCAAACATTTTTCACTAGCGATGCCCAGCCATATTAATTCTTGGGTTTCTAATTACTCAAGTCTTGGTAATAACAGCTGTTTCCCTGTCTGAGCTCTTTTCACCCTCTGAACACAGCCTGACCAGCCCCATCTTAAGATGCAAACCCCGAAGCCCCAGTCAATGCCCTGGGCACAGAGTTGCTTCTGATCTCATTTATAACAAAGCCCACTTATTAGCACCTTTCCCGGGTCTGCCGGGAAGGCCAGACTGGAACTCTTTGGAACTGGTTTGGTTTCTTGGCAGGTGTCTGCTTTGCCTATTTAAAGCAAATTAACAAGCCAAGGAGTGTTCTTAGCTTTTTTAAAGACAGGGTCTATGTAGTTCAGGCTGGCCTCAAATTCAAAGTGATCCGCCTGCCTCAGCCTCCTGAGTGCTGGGATTACAGACATGTGCCATCACCCCTATCCAGCCTTTTTTCTCTATTTCAAGATAGAGAGGTGGGGAAGAAAACTAGGAACCCAAAGGCCTGGGGTCTGGTGCACATCGCATGACTTCCTCTCTGTGGGCCCCTGACAGGCTCATAGGCCAGTGCCCCTGTGTGATGTGAGACACGAAGATCAAATGCTGATGCCAGTAAATGGGGTGGGGTGGGCAGGGTCAGAATCACAAAGCGAGTGTGGTTGTAGAGAAAAACCCTATGCATCGGGAGTGGTGGCATACACCTAATGATACCAGCACTCAGGAGGCTGAGGCAGGAGTTCAAGGCCAGCCTGAAGGTAAGAAGACCCTGTATCAACCCCCACATGAACACACACAAAAGTTGTATGCAAATTGGAAGTTCAACAATCTACACAGGCAGCCTCTGGACCCATCTGGGGACTGTGTTCCTCATTTCACATCTGCTCTGTGCTCCACGGTCCCCACTCCACGCCGGAGGCAGGATAAGAGTGACAATGCCCGCTGTGCAGAAGGCAACCCTGAGTCTCCAAAAGGAGACAAAACTTTGCCAGAGTCAGGGAAAGGCAGAGAGGAGGCCCCTCAGATATGCTGCCCATTTTCATTTTCATTTATTTACTTAATTTTTTTTTCTTCTCTTTTGGGGCAGGGTCTTGCTATGTCGTTCAGGCTGGCCTGGAACTCACTATGTAGCCCAGGTTGGCCTCAAAGTCGCAGTGATCCGCCTGCCTCAGCCTCCCAAGTATTGGGATTTCAGGTGTGTGCCACCATGCTTGGCTTCCAATGCCCATTTTGATCCTCTGTGTTTCAGCCTTTCACCCTAATATTTTCCCTCAGTTGTCCTGCCGCTCCTGTAGAGTAAAAAATAAAATGTGGAGAAAAATGTACTCAACTTTGAATTATTTGGGACCTAAACATGTATCATGTGAGGTCCCTCTTTTTGCTGGGTTTCGAGCTCTGGTGCTGCTTGCCGGCCTACATGTAACCATTATACCAGGACACCTCACTTCTGCAAACCCTGGTCCAAGGAACAGCAGAGGGAGGAGCTCCACTAATCCCTTTCTGGAATGTATCACAATGCCCAGTCGAAAAAGGCATACACATCTCACAGGCCCAGGGAATCCTGGAGGCTTTGAAGCAAGTCCAAAAATTCCTTGATGCTTCTCCCTGCAAGAGTAGAGCTGGGCTGGGTATGTAGCTCAGTGGTGGAGTGCTTGCCTGACATGCATAGGACCCTGAGTTCCATCCCTAGTACTGCAAAAAACGGGTAAAGCTACATTCCTGTCCTTGAGTATGGGCTGGACTAATCCACAGAATACAAAAGCAGCAAACTGGGTATGGCTTCAAAATGAGGTCATAAAAGGTGCTGTGTCCTTCTCCCAGGTCTTTCTCAAACCACTCACTCTGGATAACCAGCTGTCAGGTCATGAGGACACTCACACACTCCTGTGGAGAGGCCCAAGTGGTGAGGAACTGAGGCCTCCTGCCAACAGCCACTGGAGGTGCCATCTTAGAAATGGATCCTCCAGACCAGCCTGGTCCAGCCTCCGCCCAGTGCAGCCCAGGCCTAAGGTTTAACACAAGCTCCTGAGAGACCCAGAGCCAGAACCACCCAGCTAAGCCACTTGTAGATCCCTGACCTGCAGAAACTGAGACAATCTTTGTTGTTTTAAACTGCTAAAATTTTGCCAGGCATGGTGGTGGCCCATGCCTATAATCCCAGCACTGAGGAGGCTGAGGCAGGAAGATCACTATGAGTCAGAGGCCAGCCTGGGCTACACATAGTGACCTCAAGGCCACTCTGGACTGCATAGCAAGACCCTGTCTTAACCTCTCGCCTCCAAGTAAATAAAATAAAACTTGAGCTGCTAAAATAATTTTCTTCGGCTGTGAAGTTTGAGAGTAAGGGTTATGCAGCAATAAAAAACAAATGCAGGGATACTCCTGAAAACGCATCACTGTTCAGGCAGGTATGAGGAGAAACAGTGCCACACAAAGCACTTCTGCAGAACGCAGATGGAGGGGAAGGGGCAACGGCGGAAACGCAGAGTGACTTTGGTTTCAGTCAGCCCATGCCTCTCGTTCCCTTTCCCCTCATTCTGCTGTTTGTCTGAGACACTTGGCACCAAATTATATTATTCCCTTGTTTGCTTACCTGTCCCTCTCCTCACCACAATGTAAGCTCCAGGAGAAAGGAACTTGGCTTTATTCATTTCAGTCTACCAAGTACTTAGCTCAGTGTCTTTCACCAGAAGATAACTAATACATTAATTAACACACTCTTTATAAATCTTTAAACAGCTCAGCTGAAATCCATTAAAATTCCGAACCCCCTGACCACCTCGAAACAAGTCAGGGGAAGCCCTGCGACCGTCGCACCCCCTTGCACGCACGCCAGGAGCCTTCAGACGCAGGATGGCCTTCGGCCTCCTCTGCTTCTCAGGCGCCTCCAGCAAGGAAGTGCCGTGATTTCTGGAAACAATGTCATTTTAATTAAATTCCACAGAACCTGTCAGTGGTCCCAAGAGGACTCCATCATGGTGGGATTTGTTACCTGGCTTATGAATATTTGAAATTTTTCATCTGAACAAATGGACTATTTCTGAGGTGACAGTTTCCTTCCTAATGAGGTTCAAACCCCTGAACAAGTTCCTGCAGCCCCAGGTGGAGTTTGTAAATCTATGCGTCACGGATGCAACCAATACATCAGACACATACAGGCCGTGAACCCTAGTTTTTGTTAATTAGACTAAACGGGGCTTTTGGTAATGAGAGATCCTTACAACTTAAAGGAATCTTTCAACAAAGGGCAGAAGACACTGCGTATCTCAGAAAGGCAAGGTAGGCTGTCACTAAGTGATAGCTACACCGCCCTGTGCTATTCCCCCAAACTCGGCTCCTCTCCACGCCGCCTCTCCTCTCTCTGCCCTTTCTCCATCTCGCTGGCAGTGGCCTCCTCCTTCTGTCTGCCGCCCCACCCCCCTCAATCACGCGGGAATCTGAACACATCGTACCGCATAAAAAACGGTTTCCAACAGTTCTGCTGGGAACTGGAGTGTCAGCCTCCCGGGTCCTCGCCACCTACTGCAAAGGGCCCTTGGGACCCAATCCCTGACCTCCCTGACCATGTGAGGCCCTCACCCGAACCCTAACCTGTGCAGCGCAAAGCAGCACAGGCCTCTGCAGGGCGGCCTCGTCCCAGATGCCATCTTTCTGTCATTACTGGAGGCAGGGACGGCTGCCAACCCCCCACAGCGCCAGTGCCAAGCCCCAACCAGATGCTTAGAACACAGTTGCTGAATGAATACGTGAATGACTGAGTCCATGAGACCTGATTCCCCCGCATCTTCCCGCTCCACCTTCGAATACGTCCCTTCCTCCGTCCCTCCCCACATGCTCCCACCTCTTGTCACCTAAATCCCAGGTTCAATGTCCCCTCCTGATGACACCAGCCCAGGATTTTTCCGGCCCCCATCTCCGCGGCCCCGTGTGTCTCCCCCTCTGCCCAGACCAGAGCCGTGTTCCGGCCTGTGATTCTCCAGCAGGTGGGGCCTTTAGTCTTGTTCGTCCTCCCACCTCCCCATCCCAGGGGCTCTGAACGTTTTGCTGCGATCGAAATCAGAACAGAGAAGACCTGGAAGCAATGCCCGCTCTGCCCTGCCCACCTGGAGCTGGGTCTTTGCCTTTGATGCAGCCCAGATCCAAGGGCTGCTTCGAGGTTCAGCTTGGGGGGAAGGAAAATGTCTATGAAGTAATTAAACAGAGAGAGACTGAAAGCAAAACCCCGAGAAGCCCAGAGCCAGCACGGGCCTCCCTTGTAAAGCCTGGCACACAGTCTGCATTCAATATGCACTGAAGGGAGGGCCAGGGAATGGGGAGTTCACAGCCCAGAAGCTCCCAGGGCACTGCTGGCAGCTGGACCAGCAGAGCTACTAATGGACCTCGAGCTGCTGCCACCAACTCTTTTGGGGAGCGCAGAGCACTCACCTCACCTGCAACAGCCAGCATCTCATCTCCTCTTTTAGAAAACCTAAGAGGACTCTCAACAGTGGGAGTCCCAGAGCCGACTTCCTGCTCCTGAGGATCTAGACAGGGCCGCACCTGCCTCTGCTCAGGTCAGGATGGCCACGCTCCGTGTGGTGAGGGTTCTGCTACTGACCACAGTCACTTCCTGGCCCTGAGCCAACATTGTGCCAGGAGGGGACAGTCTCAGAAAAGCGTGGTGAGGACGCTGGCCCTGGCATTGTTCAGGAAAGGGCGTTGCTGAGCCAACACCCAGGAGAAGAGAGACGCGACTGCCCTCCCCATCCCTGGTCAAATCAGTGCCCACGGTGGGTGGAGTGCGCTGAAAATGTCCCCTCCCAGGATACGCTGTCATGTGGGCAGCGCAGATCAAGACTGTGCAGTGTCCCCCCCACCGCTTGCTCACGTCCCCTGAAGGAGCTGTGGGGACCCCCAGAGCCAGCTGCAGGAATCAGAGCCCTGCATTCCAGGGAACAAGACGCCAACAGGCCCGATCAAGGCTCCATCCCTCAGTCTCCACTGTCCCTGCCTCGGCTCAGGCCCTCAGCTCTGAGGGGAGCTGGCTGCAAAGCCACTCAAGCCCATGCGGACAGCCGGCCACCCTCCCCACTCCGGTCACCAGCCAGGCAAGCCTTACTTCTTTACTTTGGGGTACTTCATCTCTGCAATGGCGTTGGTGGCCTCAGTCTGCTTCTCCTTCAAGTGTTGGGGCCACATGTTGTCCACCCAGTCTACCAGATCCACCTGAAAGTCACACCACTGTCAGCGCTCACGGCTCCCACTGCCGGGCCAGAGCCAAAACGTCCCCTTGAACGGAACTCGGGCACCCACTGCACCCCTTCCTCCCACCTCAGCCAGCACAAGAGCCCCAGTATCTTGCCCTCTCCCACCCTCTCCCAGTAGCCCGGCATGGCCACCCTCCTATCAGCTGCCCAGTTCAAGGGACAGCATGGCCCGGAGCCAGGCTGGGGGCAGGTGTCGGGAGGGGCCCCGGCTGGGGCCTACCACGGTGGGGCGCTTGACCAGGTGCTCCAGCTTGGTGTGGCTGAACTCCAGGCTGATGACGTTGTACAGCTTGTCCCGCTGGGCCTCGGGCGTCTCGTAGTAGCGCACGAACTGGGACATGCTCATCTCCGTTCCCTTCTGGGTATTCACGTCCATCACATCCACCAGCCGCCGGCTCCCTGGAGGCAAAACCCGCAGGACGCTCGCTCAGGGCCACAGACCCCACCGGGGAACCCCCAAAGTGCCCCCTGCTCCCCTACAGGGCTCCCCAGGGTCCTCGCTTCTAGTCTACATCTGCTCCATGATCTTCCTGGCCCTGTTGGTTTTCCTGGCCCGACCTCTCTCCACCCTGCCGGACCCCTCTGCCACCGTGGCAGTCGACTGTCACCACTCCCGAGGTGTCCTCAACGGCTGCCCAAGGGGACTCTTGGGCTCCTCACACTGCCAGGGCGAGCCTTCCAGATGGACCTGACCGTCCAGCTCCCGTGTCTGCCATCACCTTCCACGGCCCCCACCGCCTACCAAGCAATCCCTCAGCATGGTGCACAGGGCTTTTCTGGGTACTCAGCACTAGGACAGGACTTAGGGCTGGAGAAAGAAAAACCAGCTACTTAGAAGCCTCCCTCCCAGGTCTGTGAAGCAGCGAAGTTACACAGCTTCCCTAATCCTCTGTGTCTTCATCCTGTCGGCTCTTCTGATCAGGCTGGCTGGGAGCAATGAACCGCAACTACAGACGTGCGGTGCAGCATCCGACACGTGAACGGGAACCCCTCACACCCTGGCACCGGTCACCCTCGCTAGTCTGCTGCCGTCTTTCTTCCCTCCTACTCTGTAAGCACAGGGAGGGCAGCCGCCTGCCTGTCGGGCTCGCTCCCTACAAGCACCAGGAATACAGCCAGGTACACACAGCGGCTCCAGGGACGCCTGTAGGACACTCCAAGAGTGAACACGCAGCATCCCGTCCAGGATGGTACAAATGCCCCTTCCGTACCAGCAGAGGACTTTCCTCAGTGTGGTGGTGCACACCTGTGACCCCAGCACTGAGGAGGCTGAGGCAGGAAGACTGCCACAAGCTCGACGCCAGCCTGAGCTGCACAGTCTCGACTCTGACTCAAAACAAAAACACAACCCAGAACTTTGCACCTTTCACCGAGTCCCCAAGAAAAGGGAACCAGAACCTTCCAGGCCAGCCCTGGAGTCCTGTGAGCAAGCCTCAAGGTGATCTCCACCCTTCTTTGGGCTCTGTCTGCTCATCTGTGAAATGGGAACCACAGCATCTCCGCCAAGGGGAAAGGGCCACCAGGCGAGGATAAGTGCTTTGAAAGGGGAAAAAAGACACACAAAGCCGACTGCCAAGTTCAGGGTGATTTATGGGGGAAACTGGCACCTCCTGAGTGTCACACTCAAAATGAGCACGGCGACTGCCATGGGAAACGCCATCTGGTCTGGAAAGACCCCAGCTCCCCGTTGGCTCAGTGGCAAGTACACGGTCCGTGGAGACTCAGCAACACTAAACAGTGACAACAAAAAAGCAGGTGACCCCTTATTCACCATGACCCTGGGAGGTTATGGGCACAGTCACTAGGGGTCAGCAAATGACAGCCCCAGGGCCAACCCAGCCAGGGCTGAGAATAAGAATGATTTGACATTTTTTAAATGCAAGGCTGGAAACCTGGAAAAATATTCTGTGGTATGAAATGATACGCAGTTTCCATCTGCAGGCTGGCCACAGAGGAAGTCTGTTCACACGTGGCCCCGTCCTCTGGTTTCTGAGCACTGCAACCACAGCGCACGGCCTGAGACGTCTACTCCCAGCAATTCGCACAGTAAAGTCTCAGCTCCACACTTCTCTTATTAAGCTTGGATGCTCAGGTGGGCCGGAGGCTCCTTCCCCACTTCCCCACTCTGTTCAGAGCTGTCTGATGACAAGCCAGGGTCAATATTTGTTGAATAATCAAACACAGTGTCTTTCATATAGCAGGAACTGAATAATGAAAGTGTCCCCTTCGGTGTGTAAGACAACATGGTGTTCTTATCTTTTGAGTTCAAGTTGGGTTTTTTTGTCTTTTTCTTTGTTTCTTTGTTTTGGAGAGCACTGGGGATCGAACCCAAGGCCTTTGCACTGAGCTACATTCCTACCCCCTTTTCATGACTAAAACCACAATTCTTTTTTTTTTTTTGGTTTTTTGAGACAGGGTCTCACTATGTAGTTGAGACTGACTGGGAACTCACTATGTAGCTCAGGCTGGTCTCGAACTCACAGCGATCCTCCTGCCTCAGCCTCCCAAGTGCTGGGATTACAGGCGTGCGCCACCACGCCCGGCTCTAAAACCACAATTCTTGATTGATATAAATAAAGAAATTAATAATTTAAAAATCTGGTGAGGGTTGCCAGGGGTGGTGGTACACGCCTATAATCACAGCACTTGGGAGGCTGAGGCAGGAAGATCACTGTGGGTTCCAGGTTAGCCTGGGCTACATTGTGAGTTCAAGGCCAGCCTGAACTACATAGCAAGGCCCTGTCTCAACCCCCCCACACACACACAAAAAGGAAAAACTTGGTGAAGAACAGCTAAGAATTTCAAAGAATCTACCCGCAACTTATAAATTACAAAACTGAAAAGAATAAAGTGGAAGATTCTGCCAAAATTTATCTGAACCTTGTAATAAACATTATTTATAACGAAAAAGGTCAAAATTGTTTTGTCACCTAGAAAGGAAAAGTTCCAACTTTCCTAGCGAACAATGCAGAAAGCGTCACAAATGCATGCCTACCCCTTGCATGGGGACCCTGCTAATCTTCTCTATCCTATTTTAGGGCATGTGCTGCTGAGGGGAACACCTCAGCACTTATAAATATTTTTTGTTTTGAGATAGGGCCTCAGTAAGTTGCCCAGGCTGGGCTCAAACTTTGGACCTTCCCGACTCAGCCTCCCAGAGTGCTGGGATTATAGGTGTACAGCACCACAGCCAGCTTTTGGATTCAAAATCTAATTTTCACAACCCTGGAAGGACTATGTCTGCTTTGTAAGTGAGGAAACCAAAGCCCAGAGATAAAGTAGCTGGCTCAAGTTCTTTGGGACAGACTCTGACCGGTTATTGGCATTAACATTTACTCAGCACACGGCATGGGCACACCCTCTCCACAGCGGTCACAGCTCTGGGAACAAGAACTTTAGTTACACACAGTAGGTGGATGAGAAACTCATACTTGGACCCCTGAGCAAGGCGCAGGGCTGGGATTTGGGGTTTTGTTCTAGACAGGGTCTTGCTATACAGTTCAGGCTGCCCTCAAACTCACGTGCTCCTCCTGCCTCAGCCTAGAGCTGAGATTTGAAGCCAATTCAATCAAACACTAGAACTAGGCTCTCAACCAGCTCTGTAGCCCTACCAGGTTCTGATCCCCAGCTTCTGAGGCAGCCCCTTGCTCTGGGTCCTGGGAAGCAGAGCAAGGAGCAGCTGTTCGGTTCTGTGTAGGGAGGGTGCAGATCCACCAGGGGGCGTCCCAGGCCCTTGCTGGACATCTGGCCTGCTCTACCCAGACACCTGGAACCACTGGGCTCCCCTCAGCGTTTGGGAGAGGCCGGCCTGGCCCAGAGCCTGCTGTGGGAGCCGGAAGCCACTCAAAGCCTGGCTAGCCTCACAACTCCGCCCACTGCTCCGCCTGGCCTTGCTCAAGGTCAAGTCTAAAAGGGTTGCTGCAGGTAGGAGAAGGCACAGAGAGCGCTGCACTGAATGAAATCTCAGCCACAGAAGCTCCCAAGTCAGCACAGCACACCAAGTTCAGCTGTCCCTACAGGCACCACTCAGAGGATAAGCTGAGGCTTCATGGGTTCCAATCCCAGCTGGGCTTCCAGCCACCATGTATGGCATTGTACATTTTTTTTTTCCAAACAGATTTAATCCGTGGTGGGTTAAATCCGCAGATGTGACCCACTGCACCCACAGAGTGAGGCAGAGGAAGTCTGCTTTAAGTCTCTGCCTCACAATTCGACTCAACTGACCTCTTCGAACCCTAAACCACAATCAGGAGAGCTAATGGGTGGTGGGATTTATGGGGAGTGATGAAAATGCTCTAAAATTCATGTGGTAGCCAGGTGTGGTCACAGGCACACACCTGTGACCCCAGCGCTGAGGAGGCTGAGGTAGGAGGATCGCCACAGTTTGAAGGCAGCCTGGGCTACACAGTCAGAACAAGACCAGCCTGAACAACATAGCGAGACTCTGTCTTAAAAAAAAACAAACAAAAAAAACCCACTTTTTTAAAAAATTAATTAATTTATTTATTTTGGTACCAGGGACTGAAGTCAGGATCTTGCGCCTACAAGGTAGGCAATGGAACCACTAAGCTAAATCCCCAGCCTATTTATTTATTTTTTGAGACAGGTCTCACTATGTAGTTGAGATTGCCCAGGAACTCACTATGTAGCCCAGGCTGGTCTCGAACTCACAGCGATCCTCCTGCCTCAGCATCTCGAGTGCTGTGATTACAGGCGTGAGCCACCATGCCCAGCGAGTATCTTTTCTTTTCAAGGGCCTCCAACAGTTTAAAAACAAATTGGTTAGGGATTTAGCTCAGTGGTTCTGCTGCCTGCCTCACAAGGGCAAGGTCCCAAGTTCAATGCCCGGTACAAAAAACAAAAAATCAAAAGATTTAGCCATAAAAATGGAATCAAGTATGGAGATACACTACAACACAGATAAGTCTTAAAACACTCTGCTAAATCAAGCCACATAAAAAGCAACAACTGTATGACGCTATTTAGACAGTGTGTGCAGAATAAGTGCTTGGGGACAGAAAGCAGACTAGCGGTGACCTTTTGGATGATGAAAATGTTTGTTTTTCCCCTCCCTTTGTGGTACTAAGGATGGAACCCAAGGTCCGGTGCATGCAGATCAAATGCTGTATGTACCACTGACTGACATCCCCAGCCATGCCTCTCCCTTTTTTGAGAGTCTCTCACGAAGTTGACCAGGCTAAGCTCAAATGTGCAATCCTCCTGGCTCAGCCTCCCAGTCTGCTGGGATTATACACCCAATTTCTGAACAGTCACCAAAAGTTGTTTGTTCTGGCAACTGAACCTAGGACTTTTGCATTGAGCTACATTTCCAGCACCCCACCAGCAAACAAGATCTCCCTATGTAGTCCAGGCTAAACTTGAACTCACTATGTAGCCCA